CGATGGGACGTTTGTCATATACGTCATAATCGGGTTCATCGCTGACGTCATTGCCCACCTAGTTGGAATTCGGAAAATCATATCGTTTCTCGCCACATTCCTTCTGAGAAACGAGGGGACTATCTGTATACGGTCAAAACTGGGTTCGCCCTTCGTGTAATTAGTCGAGATTAAAACATGATGGATCGATGGTTGTCACCATAATATCGAGATGAAATCTGAAGTCAGGTTATCGAGCTCAAGATTCAGGGACCAATCAATACCGAGCTCAAAGTCAATATCGAGCTCGAATTCAAATCGAACTATGATATGAAGTGGTGTAATCGAGCTCGATATTCAGAGACCGATCAATACGGAGCCTGAGTCAATATCGAGCTCGAGACCCAGAGACCGACTGATACCGAGACCGACCGAGATCGAGCCAAGAAACAAAAGAGCCGTTGTAGCCGCACTAAGGGAGAGAATCTCGGCGAAAATTAAGGAAAAACTAATCTATCGTGGGATCCCCACTATGTATTTTTAATAATATCTAAAGTAGGTTCTTTCACTATATAAAGAGTGGCTATTATTTCAGTAATTGGACATTAATTCATCTTGCTCGTTTATAAGTCATTCTCTACTCAATTTAGTTTGTATTTCATTCCTTTTTTACAGTCAATATTTGATATACATTTCTACTTATTTTTTCGATTTGTACCAAGTTATACCGCGTATCCTTAGAATTACGTATAAATTCAACTTTATACATTTTTTCGAGTATACAAAAATATCCTTTGGATGTGCAAAAGCCACACTGAATTGGCATGGATAACGTATAGTAATGGGAGTACTATTTTCTTTCTTAAGAAAGAATATGATTGTGGGCCATAATAACCGAAACTAATTTTTTCTACTACTAGTTTGAACGGGTACAACATTCATTGAAGGCAGTATCAGTGTCATTATATACGTCCTAAGCTTTTTCAATAGCAACACTCAAGATCACAGACGTATTCCGCATGCTGATCTTAGTTGAAAACTTGAAATGATTAAAAAAATATCAAGTATAACCTTACATTTTCAGTGGGAGAATGTATTGGACACAAACTAATAAAGTCTTATGTTAGACTTCTTCTAGTCAGCTGTTATTCCCATAACATATATGCTTGGTCTACTACTATAGGAAAATTTAGTGTCTCAATCAAGGTAAACTGGTTGATTATTTTAACATAAGAAAGCACATTTCATGGCGTAAGAGCACATTAAGATAATAGACTTTGGGCTCAACTTGCTCGGCAAGTGATATGAGGATGGAGTTCATCAAATCTCTTGGAAAGTTCAAACTTTAACCAGGTCAAATTGAGTAAGGAATATATAAGGCAAAGCATCGAAACTATTCTCAATCAATCAACTAAAACATCAAGATAACAGAGTGTCTAGATATGGAGATGTTGAAAGGCTTCCTCTTTGCATGTCTTGTTGGTTGTTCTATAGCAACAATAGCTGTTGCACAAGACGATCAATCAGGTCATATGTTTAGTACAATCCATTTTATTCTGCACAACATATATATATACATGTGACATATACAACAACAACAATAATTACGCCTTCTTCCTAAATAAAGCTGGGGATACATGTGACCTATAATATTTTAATTGTTGCCCTGTGTGATGCTCATGTTCTTTTAATGTTCATGTTTTACAGGATTCATAAGTATCGACTGTGGAATACCAGCAGGTTCCAACTATACTGATGTAATAACAAGCATATCTTACCTTTCAGATGAAGGTTATGTCACTGGCGGAGTGAGCAATACCATATCACCTATATACCAATCCAATTCCCTAGAAATACCATTCTTCACAGTTACAAGCTTTCCTTTAGGGACAAAAAACTGCTACACTCTAAACCCTGCTCAAGGGAATAGTACCAATTACTTGATCAGGGCTAGTTTTTTCTATGGAAATTATGATGGAAGTAATCAATTACCAAATTTTGATCTTTACCTTGGAGAAGATTACTGGGACACAGTCACAATATCTAATGCTTCTATACCAACTTGGAAGGAAGTTATACACACCCCTTCCACTCAATACATAACCGTTTGCCTTGTCAAGACAGATACTACAACTCCTTTTATTTCAGCCTTAGAGTTGAGGCCATTGAATGTTACCACATACCCAACGCTAAATAAATCATTGAATCTTATCGGACGTCTGAATTTCGGTTCCTTAACCAATCTATTCATTAGGTACGTTTATTTAATATTTTTAATTTCATAAGATCAAGGTCTTCCTTTTATATACTAAGATCTCGTAATTATTGAGATAAATTTAAATAAATTTAACTTTTATATATATATATATATATATATTTCGACAACATAATTTTTACCCACTGTAATAAGTCAATACAGTCAAACCTCTCCATAACATCATCGCTATATAACAACAATTCACTATAAAAGTCAAGTTTCTTTTGGAACCAATTTCCATGCTATGTTATAATATATATTCTTTATAACAGTATTTCGCTATAAGTAAAAAAATATAAAACAAACGAGTTTGTTATAGAGAGATTTGATTGTAATATTTTTTGCCGTTAAGTTGTAATTGACTTTTAAATAACATGATATATGATATAAAAGTTTTTTTTCCTGTGAGTGTATAAAAGTTAATTAAGCAGTTTTTACTAACTTGGTCCCCATGATATATTTTTTTTGTGGAGTTACTATACTTGTCTTTTTATACCAGGTGGATATATACGTTAATAATTAATTGTTTGTTTTCTATTATAATACATAGGTTCCCTAATGATGCATATGATAGAATTTGGCTACCATATCTATGGGAGACAATGGCAACAATTAATACAACACAAGACGTAGTTGAGAACAGTTACCGAATACCATCCGCGGTAATGAGCACGGCAGTGACACCGGACACCGCCACTGACACGGTGTCGTTTTCCTGGCTGGCTGACAATACCACAGACAAGTATTACATATACTTACACTTCGCTGAAGTCGTAGAATTGCTAGGGACACAAACAAGGGAATTCAACATTTATATCAATGATAACCTCTTTTATGGACCTTTGTCTCCGGCATATCTGTCTACGACGACGATATTCACATTGTCTCCGGGCTATGGTTCCGAAAGATACGACGTTGTAATTAACAAAACTGCCACTTCAACACTTTCACCACTCATTAATGCTGTCGAAATTTATATAGAGATGTAGTTTGCCAGACAACAAAAAATGAAAATATATCAACAGTCCGTTTGTGGTGTGAACTGAAATAAAGAAATTTAGTACTTTTGGGCTGTGTTCTTGTTGTACCATTTTTTTTCCTGCTTTCTCCTTATCTACTGAATTGAGATGAGATTGAGTTTAATCCTAATCAATTGAAAGCAAGAGATGAAGTATATGAAAAGAAATTCTCGACACCGGCAGGCCTTTATTTGGGGTTGGAATTTCTGGGTAATGGGATATTTGAATTTGAAGTCTTTGAGTTGCGGATATTATTTGGGGTTTAGGGGTAGGTTGAGGAATGTTTTAATTAGAAGGAATTTGGGCTGTGTACTGGTCCGACATTGTCGGAGTATTTGACTTTGAAGGTTAGACGGATTGTGTACCGTTCCAAAGTTGTCAGAGCTTTTGATTTTGAAGGTTGATAGGCTATCTACTGTTCCAAAGTGATCAGAGAGCATAGTTTATGATTGTTATAATCTGTCGTGAATACGCCATGTCTGATAGATAGATAGATAGATAGATAAATAGATAGATAAGATAAGTTAAGATAAGATGAGGTTAGAGGTTAATCAACTCAATAACTAAAATCTGATAATAAATAAATACAGGAAATAAAAGAAAAGAAAAATAAAGTAATAAATGAAGAAGAAAAAAGATTATGATTTAAACTTTTAAAGTGTCACAAATCATACATGAGTTTCCCCGTACTAATTAAATGAGTTGTTGGTGATACTTAATTTAACAACTACATACTTTAGAGGGATTTTTACTTTTTGCAAGGGAGTCTACGTTGACTTGATCGATATATTTCAGTTTTCTTATTAGCACAAGGGAGGAATTTGCTTAAACAATGAGGACAACACGATATGAAGGCGACTTTACAAATTCTTAAAGTTTACAAATCAACAAAAATGTAGAGAAGTCCAATCTACTGGCATTTTTCATTAATTTTATTCTTATACAAGAAGCCACACCGAATTGGCTTGGATAACGTAGAAGGATAGGAGTACTGTTTTTTTTTTAACTAGAAAGAATATGATTGTGGGCCATAATGTGTATTTAAACTAGTTTTTTTCTACTAGTTTGAATGAGTACAACATTCCTTGAAGGCTTTTATACCTTAATTAATGTGGACCAAAAATGGAAAACTCTCATTGTATAGTCGCTCTCAAAATAATAGTCAAAAAAAATATATTTTATATATATATATGCATTAATTTTTTGTATATATATGCATTATGTATGTTATATACAAAAATTATACAAATTTTATACACTTTTTCGGCTAATTAATGTAAATAGTTTCTGACGCAGAGTAGAAGTGATAATACCCACCAAAAAATGTTAGTTTATGTTAAACACAGGAACAATCAAGATCACAAACGTATTCTTTGTCCTGATCTATATTGAAATGATTATAAAAATATCTAGTACAACCTTAAAATTTCAATGGAAGAATATCTTGGGCATAAACTAATAGTCTCTTGTTAGACTTCTTCTAGTCAACTGTAATTTCCATAAATTATACGCTTGGTCTTCTACTAGGAAAAATTAGTGGCTCAATCAAGGTAAACTGGCCGATTATTTTAAAATAAGAAAGCACAATTCTTGACATAAGAGCACATTAAGATAATTAGATGTTGCACTCACCGGCCTTGCTTATCACAGGATAATATATATACTATTAGTAGTTTACAAAATCACTTAAAAACTTCAACCTAGAACTTCTCAAATCAAGCAAGAACTATATAAAGGACTCAATGGATCAATCAATTAAACTTCAAGATATAACCGAGTTAATCAAAATATGGAGATTTTGAAACGCGTCCTCTTTGCATTACTTGTTGGTTTTTATATAGCTACAATAGCTTTTGCACAAAACGATCAATCAGGTTTTATGTTAATTTAGTACCATCCATTTTATTCTGCATAACATATACATGTGACCTAAAATATTCGATATTTGCCATGTCTGCGTACTCAAGTTTTTTTTTAAAAATATTTTACAGGATTCATAAGCATTGATTGTGGATTACCAGCAGGTTCTAACTATACTGACATAAGAACAGGCATATCTTACGTTTCAGATGAAGGTCATGTCAGTGGTGGAGTAAGCCATAGCATATCACCTATATACCAATCCAATTCCCTAGAAAAGCCGTTCTTCACAGTTACAAGCTTTCCTTCTGGGACAAAAAACTGCTACACTCTAAGCCCATCTCAAGGGAGTTTGGGCAAATACTTAATCAGGGCTAGTTTTTTCTATGGAGATTATGATGGAAGTGGCCAATTACCAATTTTTGATATTTACCTTGGAGAAGATTACTGGGACACTATCATAATATCTAATGCTTCTATACCGTATTGGACGGAAGTTATACACACCCCCTCCAATGACTACATAACTGTTTGCCTTGTCAAAAGAGATACTACAACTCCTTTTATTTCAGCCTTAGAGTTAAGGCCATTGAATATTACCATATACCCAACGCTAAGTAAATCACTGAAACTTTTCGTACGTGAGAACTATGGCTCCTTAACCAATCAACTCATTAGGTACGTTTATTTCATCTTTATAATTCAAGATTTTCCTTCTCTACACTAAGATCTTGTTGTTGAGACATATTTAAATGAATTTAAATTATACAATACTAACCGCGTAAAAGTTTTTTATACGATTTGTGTGGTTTTGCCGGTTGTGGTAGGTCATTACTATCTTTTGTGGGTTATCAATTCATTCCTGTTATAAAAAGTTATAAAACTGTGTGTGAGTTTATAAAACTGAAACCAATTTTACTACTCCCTTCGTCCATTTTAATTGTCTTTTAAGCTTTTCAAAAGTTAGTCCAAAATAAGTATATTTTAACCAAGTAATTAAGCATTAATTATTCCTTTTCCGATTTATCCTTTTTCTAATAAATGATCCATGCAACTTTTAAACTATGGAGTATTTCTTAATGAGTCACTAAAAAGGACCGGAGGGAGTAGCTTGATCCCCACCCCATAATATTTTTTCTAGTTACTATACTTGTCTTATTATTGTTAAGGTGGATGCATTCGTTAACAATTGATTCTTTACTATTTAAAAATACATAGGTACAAAGATGATGCATATGATAGAATTTGGGTACCAATTCCATCGGAGAATGCGGGAATTCTTAGTACAACACAAGACGTAGTTGAAAACAGTTATAAGGTACCATCGGCGGTATTGAGCACGGCTGTGACACCGCTGCCCTTCCAGTTGACGCCTGGCAATATCAGCGACAAGTATTACATATACCTGCACTTCGCCGAAGTTGAAGAATTGCTGGGGACACAAACAAGGGAATTCAACATTTATATTAATGATAACCTCTTTTATGGACCTTTGTCTCCGGCATATTTGTCGACCACAACGGTATACACATTGTCTCCGGGCTATGGTTACGAACGGTACGATATTGTCATTAACAGTACTGCCACTTCTACTCTTCCACCACTCATTAAAGCTCTCGAAATTTATAGAGAGATATAGTTAGCTAGAAAACCAGAATATATATTAACAATCCGTCGGCTGTGGTGTGGAATGAGATAAAGCAATTTTTCATCGAGGAAATCGAAGGTCGAGATGGAAAATTTTTGGGCTGTACATGTTCTCGTTGTACCTATCTTTTTTCACTTTCTCATTATCTACACTGAATTGAAATGAGTTTGAGTTTAATCCTAATCACATGATTAGATCTCTTATTTTAGTTTATGATTGCTATAACATAAGATGAGGTTAGAGGTTAGGCAACTCATTAACTAAGATCTGATCGTTAATAAACACAGAAAATAAAAGAAAAGAAAAGTAAAGGAAGAACGGAAAAATGAAAAAGAAAGGGATTAGTATAAGTTAAACTTTTAAGTGACACAAACCATACATGAGTTGTCCCGTACTAATTAAATCAATTGTTGGTGATACATACTTTTATAACTACATGGTTTAGAGGGATTTTTACTTTTTGCAAGGGAGTCAACGTTTGCGTACACGTAGTGAGTTGCTCTAGTGGTGAGCACCCTCTACTTCCAACCAAGAGGTGGAGAGTTCTTGGAGAGAGGGAGCCGAGGGTCTATCGGAAACAGTCTCTCTACCCCAGGGTAGGGGTAAGGTCTGCGTACAAACTACCCTCCTCATACCCCACTAGTGAGATTATACTGGGTTGTTGTTGTTGCAAGGAAGTTAACGTTGAGTTGATCGATATTTTTCAGTTTTCTTAATAGCACGAGAGAGGAAATTTGCTTAAGCAATGAAGATAACACGATATGAAGGCAAGTTTACAAATTCTTAAAGTTGACGATCAACCAAAATGTAGAGAAGTCCAATTTACTGGCATTTTCATTATTGTTTATTTTTATTGCAGCCGAACTACTTGTACTTGTACTAGGCAATACGCATGCCGTATAATATATCATAAGATTTCTTAAAGACCTATCGCACTCTTAGACCTTCATATCTTACGAGAACGTCATTGCTAGTTTTATGTCATGACCTGCCATGTAGGTGCCACTTGGCGTATATTTTTGTTATATGGGAAGTTTATATATGAAAGAGGCTAGAACTTGTAGGAAATTAAATTCTAGAGCAATATAGAGATTTCCCTAGGAAGACCCTAGAACCGTATAAAATTGCTAGTAAAATCCTTAGAAGATTCTAGCTATCTAAAATATTCTAGAGAAGGTACTTACTTGAAAATATTAATGACTTATGTAAAAATGAATATTTACACACTAGCCCCTATGAAACTAATATATAAAGGGTCTCATATATAAATGGGTCATTCATTTGTAATTCACCAAGTAAAACAATCAAGTTTTCTATAATAAAACGCTTCCTTTGGCAATTCTCTTGTGTTCTAACATTTTCATAGCGATCTTGAGTATAGTAAGGCTGACTTGGCATAGCAATGCCACGACCCAAACTCCCTCCGAGACATATCATGACGGCACCTAGTCTCTACGACTAGCTAAGCCTAACAGATTGCGGAAATATCAATCAATAATAGAAGCAAAACTAAGCAACTAACAATATTAGATACTGAATAACCAATAATAATGCCACTCAGCATATACAATAACCAAAACATTAGACGTACACGGTTTTTCAAAACCCGAAACATCATAAGTCACAAGCTACAGAAGAAAACTAGTATCTCTATACACTAGAGTCAAATAAAAGAAGTAAAGAAGGTAAATAACATAGGAGGGAATAGAGGAGGACTCCGAGGTTTGCAGACGCTACAGATATACCTTGAAGTCTCCGTACAGGAGCAAGCACTCTCAGCTAGTAGCGGGGCTGATAAAAAGTACCTGGATCTGCACACAAAATATGTGCAAAAGAGTAGCATAAGTACACCACAACGGTACCCAGTAAGTGTCAAGCCTAACCTCGGTAGAGTAGTGACGAGGTCAGGTCCGGGCCCTACTGGGATATAATAATAAGACAGATGCTATAATATAATGAAGTAAAACGGAAAAGACAAAAACAAGTATTCACAAAGCGATAACGACACCACAAAATGATATAACAACAGAGGCGCTCCCGAGATACCGTCTCGTAGTCCCAAAAGTAAATATACAGGGAGAACTCCCAAGGTACCGCCTCGTAGTCTCAAAAGTAAATATGTAGGGAGAACTCCCGAGGAACCATCCCATAGTCTCAAAAATAAATGTGCAGGGAGAACTCCCGAGGAACCGCCTCGTAGTCTCAAAAGTAAATGTGCAGGGAGAAATCACGAGGAACCGCCTCGTACTTTCAAAAGTAAATGTGCAGGGAGAACTCCCGAGGAACTGCCTCGTAGTCTCAAAAGTAAATGTGCAGGGAGAACTCCTCAAGAACCACCTCGTAGTCCCAAAAGTAAACACACAGCTCAAACCGATAAATACAACAGTTAACAGCAAGATTTCTACAGTTAATACTGATGAAGAACAAGGAAAACAAGAAATCAACTGGGCATGCTTCACAGAGTTCAAATAAGCAGTTGAAGCACGTAGACATGCGATATTAGACTAACTAGGATAACTACACAGGTTGGTATAACGCAATTAAGAATGAAAAGCAGATTACTACTCAGAAAAATGGTATACCCCAAATTAAAAGGAAAACAGGTTGCTACTCAGTAAAATTGATTTTTACAACAAATAGCCTGTGTACGTACTCGTCACCTCACGTACACGGTGCTCACATATTACAACAGTACCAAATCCTAAGGGGATTTCCCTCACACAAGGTTAGGCAAGCTATTTACCTCGAACCAAGCTCAATCAATCGATAGCAATGCTCTTTCCATGAATATCCAACTCTGAATGGCCCAAGTCTAGCCAAAAATAATTGCATATCATAAATACAACTATAATAGACTAATCTAATTAATTAAATCAAGACTTTAACAAAAATTTCGAAATCCATCCTAAAAGGTCGACTCGGGCCCACGTCTCAGAATCGGAAAAAAATCACAAAATCCGAAAGCCCATTCACTCACGAGTCCAACCATACCGAATTTATCAAAATCCGACCTCAAATGGCCACACAAAATCCAAAATCAAACTCTACAAATCCCTAGTCTCAACTCCCAAATTTTACCTTAAATACATACTAACTAGGTGGAAAAATAAATGGGGAAGCAAAATTATTGATCAAAATAAGCACAAGGAACTTACCTCACGAAATCCCCCGAAAATGCTCTCAAGAAATAGTCAACCCGAGCTCAAGAATGAAGAAAATGACCAAAATTCTTGAAGCCTCGCTTAAAAGGGTTCTACCGAGGTATTCCCGCATCTGCGGACCACCAGTCGCACGTGCGACACCGCACCTGCGGAAATATCATCGCAGGCGCGGATTTCACTTATGCCTAGGGTTTCTGCTTCTGCAGACCGGAGATCGCACCTGCGATCTCACTTCCGCGGAGACCCTTCAGCTCCTGCGATCCCAAACCTACCAGAAACGTGATGTAAATTTCTTACCCCGGTTAGAGATGATAGATACTGGTACGCCATGAATCTTGACAATCTCACGGATATAAATTTGAGCCAGCTGCTCGGACGAATAGGTAGTCATCACAGGAAGGAAGTGAGCTGAATTGGTCAGCCTATCCACAATCACCCAAACTACATCAAACCTCCGCTGAGTCCGTGGGAGTCCAAACACGAAATCCATAGTGATTCGCTCCCATTTCCACTCTAGAATCTCTAACTTCTGAAGCAACCCACATGGCCGTTGATGCTCATACTTCACCTGCTGGCAATTTATACACCGAGCTACATGTTCCACTATGTCCTTCATCATTCTTCTCCACCAGTAATGCTGCCTCAAGTCCTGGTACATCTTCACGGCACCCGGATGAATGGAGTACCGTGAACTGTGAGCCTCCTGAAGAATCAACTCTCCCAAACTATCTACATAGGGCACACATAACCTGCCCTGCGTCCTCAATGCACTATCATCCCCAATAGTGACCTCCTTAGCATTACAGTGTTGGACCGTGTCCTTAAGGAAAAGCAGATAGGGGTCATCATACTGACGCTCCCTGATATGATCATAAAGAGAAGACCAAGAGACCACACAAGCCAATACTCGACTCGGCTCAGAAATATCCAATCTCACAAACTGGCTGGCTAAGGCCTGAACATCCAATGCCAATGGCCTCTCTGCTGCTGGTAGATAGGCTAAGCTCCCCAAACTCTCCGCCCGGCTGTAACGACCCGACCAGTCATTTTGAGAGTAATAACCCTGACCCCCTATTAACTGTTTCCCCCAAATCTTTTTCTACTATTGTGACTTGCCGTGATGATTGGTTTTGATTTTCGGGGTGTTTTGGGACACTTAGTCCCTAAATGAGAGTTTAAGCTATAGGATTTGGACCGTAGTCGGAACTGTGTGAAGACAACTCCGAAATGGAATTCCGTCGGTTCCCTTAGCTCCGTTAGGTAATTTTGGGTTTAGGAGCATGTCTGGATTATGTTTTGGGGGTTCGTAGCTCATTTAGGCTTGAAATGGCGAAAGTCAAATTTTTGGAGTTTTGGGCCGGTAGTGGAATTGTTTGATATCGGGGTCGTTTTCCGATTCCGGAAGTTGGAGTAGGTCCGTAATATTGATTATGACTTGTGCGCAAAATTTGAGGTCAATCAGGCGTGATTATGACAGGTATGACATCGAGTTATACAGTTTATACTGGACACAGATAAGGCAAATAAGGACTTAACTGAACATGACGCACAGAATATCAATTAGGCAGTTAAAACACGTAAGCATGCATTTCTAGTCTAGACTACACAATTAAACATATTAGTACAATTAATAAGAGAAGCAATTTATGATTTAAAAAGGTTAAACATGATTTTTGCAATAATAGCCCATGTACGTACTCGTCACCTCACGTATACGCCGCCCACACACCAAATAATATCAAGATATCCTAAGGGAAAAGTCCCCAACACAAGGTTAGGCAAGCCACTTATCTCGAACTGCTCAAATCAACTTGATGTCACGTTCTTGCCACGAGTATCCGACTCCAAATGGCCCGAATCTATTCAAAACAGGACAATACCATCAATACGCGCTAATGGAATGAATCCCACAAGAAAAACTACAAAATTATGCCAAAACCCGAAATTGGCTCAAACCCGGCCCCCGGGGCCCACGTCTCGAAACCCGATAAAATTCACA